AGTCGGAAGAGAAGGACACTGTGACCAGAGAGAAAGTGTTGGGGGCACTGCAGAAACTCAGCCTCAGGTAACGCATCACCTGCGCACTCACCTGTACTGATGCTCCAGCTTACACCTACATTCACATTTTCTCATCCAGTGGGAATGTCCACATGAGACAGAATCCATTCTGAGGGAAGGCAGAACAGGACCCATACAGTGTCACTGCTTGTTTATAGCCAAAAAAATAGTTAGTGCCTTTTCTCACTTACATTACAGCAGCTATAAACACACCTCACTTTTTCTTATGGTCAATATGACAAAACATTGTAGCTTATCCTTAGTACTCAATTTTGTTGCCAGCAGTTTAGACATTAATGGCTGTGTGTGGAGTTATTTTGAAGGGACAGCAAATTTACACTGTTACACAAGCTGTACACTCACTATTTTACATTGTAGCAAAGTGTCATTTCTTTAGTGATGTCACATGAAATGATATAATCAAATATTTACAAAAATGTGAGGGGTGTACTCACTTTTGTGAGATACTGTATACATATGCACATAAATACATACATACATGCATACATACATGCATAGACATGCGTGTATACACACACACATAGTGTATTTACTTGTTATCTCCCGCTGGACGTGTGCATGTGTTTAAGCAGACGAGTCCATCAGTCGGCTCTGATCAGACTGGGTCTGATCGCATGGTTGGTTGATGAGCTGCAAGACTCGGATTCTTTATCAGATTACACTGTGGAGTACGCTGTAACTCTTCTGATGACTCTCTGTCTGCGCACGCAGGGTAAATGCTCACATCTACATTACACCATGCTAATGTGTTTTTCACAGACCTTTAACACTCTTGTTACAGTCATTACCATACAGACGGGTGACAAATTCAAGGAAAAGGCTAAATAAAGTGTGCTAGTGAGCTGTTGAGCCAGCACAAGCCTCCAGAACAGCTTTAGTACTCCTTGGCATTAATTTCACACACACATGTGGGACCGTATCAAAGTGATGAAGAGCTGTTCTTCAATAAGATCTTCCCTCAGGTGGTTTTGGAGGTGGAGAGCATGTCACTCAAGTGTTCAGTTTAACTGAGATGTTGTGAGTGTGAAGGTCATGGCATATTATTTTATTCCTTTTCTTCCTCATCAAACTATTCACTGAGCACTCATACCATGTGGATGGGGACAGATTCTTCCTGTAAGAGACCACACCCATCAGGATAGAAACATTTCATGATTGGATAAAGGTGGTCAGCCAGAAGATCAAGTGAAGCTGAACCACATCATACAAATTTATACCCCCAGAGCATAATAGAATCTCCTGCTTTTCCTTTAATTTGTCACCTGTTTCTACAGTATGTAAATAAAGATAATTTATTTAAGATCATTGAGATTTATTTTGTTACAGAAGGCAATACAGAGAAGTTAAAAACGTATGGATTATTTTCCAGGAAGAAGAAAATGCGCAGAAAAAGCCAAACATGTGTTAACGGTTCTGACTGACCTCTTAGGACACGAAAACCATGAGGTATGTTAACGAACATGTTCCTTTCATGTCCTGCTTCATATCTGGCAACTTGCTCACTCCCACATGAAAGTATGTACCTCCTGCTCATGCCAACTTTTTCCATACCTTTGGATCCCAGTACCAATACACATCTCTAGTCTCATCCATCTAGACTGAACATTTCTGGCAAGTGTCTGGCAAAAAAATGAATAGTGCATCTCCCATTTGTATTTTTGTATGTATCTGTTAAGAATACATGAATACATCTACTCATCCTGAATAATATATTCTAATTCAGTTAGATCTAATTCAGTCCTATTTTCAGGAAGCTCTGCTTACTGTACACATGCGTTTTTCTCTAACCAACCATCTTTACGGCAGTCTCTGTGGTAATAGTGATCAAGGCAAGGCCGAATCCCAAATCCCCCGCTCCTATACAATGGTCCTATACAATAAAGTGGTTTCTATGCGATTCTATGCATTGCGATATTATAAGCAATATAAAAGCAATGTATAAAAGCAATATCACACTTGCAATTATGTTGTTGTTCAGAATATCAGCAAAGCTGGCACTCCTTTTGCCTACAGCCAAATCACAGCCATGCTGATATTCAGTACAACAGCGCTCATGCGATATTGCTTTTATACAACAGTTCTATAACTAAAATATTTATATTAAATAACTGACCTTTCAGACATGATATAGCCAAAAATAAATAAATAAATAAATTCTGCTCCATGAATGAAAATAGTTCCCAAAGAGGCCACACCTGGACAGAATTTTGCGTGTTGCCATGGTAATGAATAAGTGTAATAACAGTTTCAATGTAACAAACTATTGCTAGAATTTGGAATTATAACAAACACTAAGTGTCTGTTGTCTAATTTCTATCCAGTGTCTGTTGTCTAATTTCTATCTCTATGAAGGATCTGTATTCTGTATGTTAAATCCAGAAACATGTCTACATGTGGCGCAGGTGGTAGAGTGGGTTGTCCACTAATCGTAGTGTTGGCAGTTCGATTCCCGGCCCGGGTGACTCCACATGCTGAAGTGTCCTTGGGCAAGACACTGAACCCCAAGTTGCTCCTGATGGCAAGCTAGCACCTTGCATGGCAGCTCTGCTACCATTGATGTGCGAGTGTGTGTGTGAATGGGTGAATGAGACTCAGTGTAAAGCGCTTTGGATAAAAGCGCTATATAAGTGCACATTTACCATTTACCATCTACTCTTTACATATGTAAACTGTGGGGGGGAAACACCTCCTGAGGATAATTTTCCTGTGTAGGGAATTTAACAAGCGGTGGGCTGAGCACAGACACAAGAGGACGTTTCAGTGTTGTGTAGAGTGATCTTTATTTAAGGATATCGGTGAGGGGGTGTGTGTGTGTGTGTGTGTGTGTGTGTGTGTGTGTGTGTTTTGAAGTGCGGTCGGGTGGTGAGGGTCTCAGCTGTCTGCAGTTCAGCCAATGGGGCGGCCATCTTCAGTCTCGCATCCGGTGCCAGTCCGACTTGCCAGTAGCCTTTTGTTTGGTCCAGGTTAGATCCCCAGTTAGGAATCTCCCCAGTTGCTCCATGAGGTTATCCACTCAGGGGAGTGGATAGCTATTGAATTCGGAGACCTGGTTCAGCTTCCGGAAGTCATTACGAAGCCGCATACTTCCGTCTGGCTTTGGCACGACGATGATGGAGCTGGACCAGGGGCTGTTGGAATCTTCTATGATGTAGTCCTGCAGCATTCCGCCAACTTCTTCCTTGATAGCCTTGTGCCGGGCCTCTGGGAAACGGTAGGGACGCTGTCTCACCACTACTCCTGGACGGGTTTTGATCTTGTGGTGGACCAGCTATGTCATTCCTGGGGAGGTAGAAAACACATCAGAGAATTGGTCCACCAACAGCGTGCTGCCCTTTTGGGGGGGGGGGAAACCCCCTCCTCCCTTCTACCTACCTACCTTGGCTTTGTTTTGTGTCTGAGGTATGTTTTCCCTATTCCACCCCCCCGCTCTTCCCCCCCTTTTCACAATTTTTGGGTAAATTTTTTCTTTGTTTGTTTGCTGGGCGTAGTTTACGGGGCCTTTTCATTCGAGGACTGTGTATGGGCCTTGCAACCGGGCCAGGAGCTTGCGGGAGCTACTGGGCACTAGTAGGAGCATCCGATCGCCCGGTTGGAACTCCCGAGGCTGTGTGGGTCGGTTGTACACTCTTCTTTTGTTCTTCCTGGGCTCGCATGTGCTCCTGAACTATCGGGGTTACCCGGGCAATCTTGTCTTGCCTCTCCTGCACATAGTCAATGACCGAGCGGAATGGGGACAGTTGTTCGCTGGCCATGTCCAGCCGTCCTCAAGGTCGCCCTCCAAAGAGGAGCTCAAAGGAGGTGAAGCCCGTGGATGCCTGGGGGCACTACCGGACGGTGAAGAGCACATAGGGAAGGAGGAGGTCCCATTTCCTTCCTTCCTCATCTACCACCCAGCTCTCAGGGCCAGCAGCTCCTGGGTAGCAACTCGCAGGCTTTGGGCGAGCTGCTGTGTTGTAGCCTGCTGCTGGAGGCTAGTCTCCATGAGACAATGTAGCATGGGGTCCATGTTACACAATAGCGATTAGCAGACATGCACGTGTCGGCAAAATCGCATAAAACACACCAGAGATTTGCGCACATGCTCAGAGATACTTCACTCTCTCCTACAAGGGGAATATCGCCGTTTTATACTCTCCCCTCGCTTGCTGGATGGTGGAATTCTTCCGTGCGGTGCACCATTCATGAGCCGTGGGTGTGTCGGCGGCCCCGCTGCCACGTACTCTCTGGCCATCCATAATGTTTGGAGAGACAGTTCCACTTCAGCGCCACTGCGGCAGTCATGGGAGGAGCGATCTTTGTTTCCTGTGCGCCAGCTGCTGACCTGTCGCCACACCTGTATAATTGTTTGTTCATTCGACGCTCCTCTCTGCCCTGTGTCTACATTTAATATGTTCCTCTTTAGTGTCTCAAATGTGACAGATTATGAATATACACTATATGGCCAAAATATTGGGGACCTTCTCCAATTGTCTAGAATGTGTTTGTATGCTGTAGCATTACAGGTTCCCTTCACTGAAATTAATAGGTTGAAACCAAACATGGCGATGCCCCTGTGCAAAAAAGGTCCAAGTTTGGAGTGGAAGAACTTGAGTGACCTGCACAGAGCGCTGAGCTCAACTCCGCTTTAGAACACACGAAGTGACAGGATTTAGTGCCATTGTGACCAAAGATGACAAAGCTGATGAAAGTTGTGTCAGTGCGAGAAATTTCTGATTAAAATCTCAGTGCAAGCACTGCTACAATGCTCATTTAAAATCCACCAATAGGAGGATGGCAAACTACAGCTACAAATGGAGTAGCAGAGATGGAGAAACGTGAATGAAATGTGGTAAAGGACAGAAAAAAACATCCCTTGTTAGCACAAGCTCACTGTGCAGAATGTTAGTGTTAATGCGAGCCTGTTTTCTGATTTAGGAGCTGATTGTGGTAGTTCAGTGGTTAAGACATTGGACTTCTGACCAGAAGGTCATGAGCTCAAATCCCAGCATTACCAAGCTGCCATTGATGCGCCCTTGAGCAAAACTATTAACTCTCAACTGCTCAGTTCTATAAATGAGATAAATGTAAGTCACTCTGGATAAGGGGGTCTGCCAAATGACATAAAAAAGGAAAAACGAAATTTTCTTTAATCGCAGGTCTATCATGAGAGGATCCTCATAAACAAAATCTAATCTAAATTTAAATGATATTGTTTTTAAATGTGAAAATTTAATTAAGGATCATCTTTAGATCTAACATGAGTGATTCTCAGTCCCTCTATAAGGAATTTTCTTAATAAGTGCGTCAGTACTGTGCGTGCATGTACGTGTGTGCGTTGTGCGCGTGTGTGTGCGTTAATTGTGTACACTGCCTGGATGTTAAACAGTGAGAGGGTCTGAAGCTTACTGAAGCTTGTCTTTCCTCACTGTTGACTTTCCAACTTGTTCCCTTTTTAAATACAGACACTTTATAGGACGTTTCTCTTGAATGTCAAAAGCGTCAATTTGACCCTCCTACTGTAAATAACTGAAAGAGTTAAAAAAAAAAAAAAAGGCGTGCACTTAGAAATACAAAGGGAAAAAAATCTTTGGCAGAAAGTGATGAACTAGCTAACACAGCTGTTGACATTTGAAGCACTGAAATCTTGGCATTTAAGTGGGTGTGTGAGTTTGAGTGTGTATGCGTGTGTGTTTTGTGCACGTGCACTATATGGTCAGGTCCATTCATATTTGTACATTGACAAAATAATTATTTTATGTAGTTATTTAGAAATAGCAAAAACTTTCAGGTGTGGCTAAATCAGCTGTTCTTAAAAATAATACTGGTGAGCTCAAGAACACCAAAAAGCCTGGAAAACCACCGAAAACCTTCCAGACATCTTGAAAACCTTCCAGACATTGGCGTATCTGTGTCCATCCATCCTTTATCTATGCCGCTTATTCTACAGGGTAGCAGGGTACCTGGAGCCTATTCCTGGAACAATGGGCACAGGGTGCCAATCCATCACAAGGCACAATTACATACACATTCACACACCCATTCATACACTACAGACACTTTGGACATGCCAGTCAACCTACCATGCATGTTTTTTGGACTGAGGGAGGTAACCAGAGTACCTGGAGGAAACCCCAGCAGCACGGGAAGAACATGCAAACTCTGCGCACATACCTCTGGAGGTATGAGGCGAATGTGCTAACCACTAAGCTATAGTGCACTCTCATATCTGTGCCAAAGTCAACAATTAAGAGAAGTCCACCACAGTAAATAATTAAGATTTACCACAATATGCAAATAATCGATAAGCCTCTAAAAGATCAGATACGCGTTTGCCAAAAAATCTTTAAAAAATAAATAAAACTTTTAAAAAAGCCCTTATACACTGAGGGGAAAAAAGTATTTGATCCCCTGCTGATTTCGTACGTTTGCCCACTGACAAAGAAATGATCAGTCTATAAGTTTAATGGTAGATTTATTTGAACAGTGAGAGACAGAATAACAACAAAAAAATCCGGAAAAACGCATGTCAAAAATGTTATAAATTGATTTCCATTTTAATGAGGGAAATATGTATTTGACCCCCTCTGCAAAACATGACTTAGTACAAAACCCTTGTTGGCAAACACAGAAGTAAGACGTTTCTTGTAGTTGGCCACCAGGTTTGCACACATCTCAGGAGGGATTTTGTCCCACTCCTCTTTGCAGATCTTCTCCAAGTCATTAAGGTTTCGAGGCTGATGTTTGGCAACTCGGACCTTCAGCTCCCTCCACAGATTTTCTATGGGATTATGGTCTGGAGACTGGCTAGGCCACTCCAGGACCTTAATGTGCTTCTTCTTGAGCCACTCCTTTGTTGCCTTGGCCATGTTCATTGTCATGCTGGAATACCCATTTTCAATGTCCTGGCTGAGGGAAGGAGGTTCTCACTCAAGATTTGGCGGTACATGGCCCCATCCATCGTTCCTTTGATGCGGTGAAGTTGTCCTGTCCCCTTAGAAAAACACCCCCAAAGCATAATGTTTCCACCTCCATGTTTGAAGGTGGGGATTGGGGTTCTTGGGGTCATAGGCAGCATTCCTCTTCCTCCAAACATGGTGAGTTGAGTTGATGCCAAAGAGCTCCATTTTGGTCTCATCTGACCACAAAACTTTCACCCAGTTGTCCTCTGAATCATTCAGATGTTCATTGGCAAACTTCAGACGGGCATGTATTTGTTCTTTCTTGAGCAGCGGACCTTGCGGGCGCTGAAGGATTTCAGTCCTTCATGGCGTAGTGTGTTACCAATTGTTTTCTTGGTGACTATGGTCCCAGCTGCCTTGAGATAATTGACAAGATCCTACCGTGTAGTTCTGGGCTGATCCTCACTGTTCTCATGATCATTGCAACTCCACGAGGTGAGATCTTTTATGGAGACCCAGGCTGAGGGAGATTGACAGTTCGTTTGTGTTTCTTCCATTTGCAAATAATCGCACCAACTGTTGTCACCTTCTCACCAAGCTGCTTGGCAATGGTCTTGTAGCCCATTCCAGACTTGTGTTGGTCTACAATCTTGTCCCTGACATCCTTGGAGAGCTCTTTGGTCTTGGCAATGGTGGAGAGTTTGGAATCTGATTAATTGATTGCTTCTGTGGACAGATGTCTTTTGTACAGGTAACAAACTGAGATTAGGAGCACTACCTTTAAGAGTGTGCTCCTAACCTCAGCTCGTTACCTGTATAAAAGACACATGGGAGCCAGACATCTTTCTGATTGAGAGGGGGTCAAATACTTATTTCCCTCATTAAAATGCAAATCAATTTATGACATTTTTGACATGCATTTTTCTGGATTTTCTTGTTGTTATTCTGTCTCTCGCTGTTCAAATAAACCTACCATTAAAATTATAGGCTGATGATTTCTTTGTCAGTGGGCAATCGTACAAAATCAGCAGGGGATCAAATACATTTTTCCCGTCACTCTAGTTCTGGAGTTACATCCTATGGAGACGTGAGACAAAGATCAACTTGTGCCAAAATGAAGGGAGGAGAACATTATGGAGACGGGAAGGAACTGTTTTCCAATGTGTACACTTTGACATTTTATGTGTGTGCGTGTGTGTACAGATCCGGTACTATGTAAATGGAGCTCTGTACAGTATCCTGAGTGTCCCAACATTACGACAAGAAGCCAAAGAAATGGTGAGTGTTTAACATTAGCTTTAAAAATAAAAAGCACACACACACACCCACACCCACACACACACACACACACAAAGTTTGAATGCACAACCACAAACTGTGTTTCTTCTCTTCCTTTTCTTATTATTAATCTTATTATTACATTTACATGCAGCCTAATAGTTAATACTAATATTCATTAATATCCATTAATATTCAGACTAAGAGCTCAAGCTGAAAAAACATTTATGTAATCACTTCACTAGAACACATCACACCTCACCTCACTATTAGAATGTTCTAGATTTATGCATAAATATGACCTAAACATCATCAGATTTTCACACAACTCCTAAAAGTAGACAAAGAGAACCAAATTAAACAAATGAGATAAAAAAAATATATCATACTTGCTCATTTATTTATTGAGGAAAATTATCCAATATTATACATCTGTGAGTGGAGATAATATTTGAAACTTTGCTTTTAGTATCTGGTGTGACCCCCTTGTGCAGCAATAACTGTGTCTAAACATTTCCGGTAACTGTTGTTCAGTCCTGTTTAGCCCATTACTCAGTACAGAACAGCTTAAACTCTGGGATGTTGGTGGTTTTCTTCACATGAACTGCCATTATTCCATCAAACCGTCCTGGCCCAAATGCAGCAGAACAGGCCCAAACCGTGACTCTACCACCACCATGTTTCATAGATGGGATAAGGTTCATATACTGGAATGTAGTGTTTTCCTTTCTCCAAACATAACACTTCTCATTTAAACCAAAAAATTCTATTTTGGTCTCATCTATCTACAAAACATTTTTCCAACAGCTTTTTGGTTTGTCCATGTGTTCTTTAGCAAATTTCAGAGGGGCAGCAATGTTCTTTTTGAATATTTTGAACATTGAAGGGGTAAGACCTTTAATTATGGTAACATTTAGTAGATGAATAAAGGTGTTGTATATCTCTTATACCAATGGATAATGTTATGTATTTTCTGTGTTCTTGAATGTTGAGCAAATATTAAATGTGAAGAAGAGTTTGTGAGCGCTGTAAAGTCAATTCTTACATTACATAATCATGTTTTGATGTGGTTTTACTGAGAGAGAAGTCATTTACATTCACAAAGCACAAAAATATTCTCTGAACACGCTCACCAGACTCTCACAATCTTGGCTGTTATGGTAACGTTGATGCTCAACCTCACTCCACGTATGCACAAAACTTTGGATCGGATATAACTTGCAAATAGATGAACAATGTATCCAGAGTGTCCAGTTTGGGATTCATATAAAGTTTATTATGAATCTGCAATCAGAATGAATTCATAGAGATCGTTGAATATGTGAAGCACAACCAGTGAGAACTGAATAAGAAACTGCAGGAAATAATGTGTTCTAAAACATTCCAGTAATCACAATATCATTTCTGAATTTAAATTACAGATCCTACAGTGCTGTAGGTAGGAATTAACTCGATGACTAATTCAGCACTAAAATAATCGTTGTGTTTAAGAAAATGTTCCACATGAAAGGCTCGCTTCTGTGTTCCTCACCACTTCAAAATGTTCTCAGTTCTTGAGTGACGCAGCGTTGATGTTACTCAGTATGCTACATCCCCTAAAAGTTCAATTAGTGGTCAGTGCACAGCGTAATTACTGTGTAATTATAGTCATGTGGAGGTTTTTATTAGTACTTTAACATCACATCTGAAGGAAATGTCAATACAGGGTTCGTTTGCAGGTCTGGAAAGTCCCAAAAAATATAACATTTCGATTTTGCTTTAAGACTCGGAAGAAGTATGGACATTTAGCAAGCAGTTATCATGTGCAAAGATCTTGAATATCCGTAGTCAGATTTAT